CGTTATGGTGAGCAGCCACCGTGCCCCCAACCCCATCACATCCCCGGCGAGGCTCTCAGCCACATCCCCGTGCCCACGACCCAGCGGTGCGAGCCCCGCACGGCCCCCCCGGTGCCTCCCAGGCCCCCCCTCAGGGCCCGGTTCCCCCCCTCGCAGCGCTGCGGGGCTCGACCCCCTCCTCCCCACAGGGCTCGACCCTTCTCCTTTCCAGCACTGACCTTCCCGGCTCCTCACCGACCTTCCCGGCTCCTCCTTCAGCGGCCTCCTGGGGCCGAGCCCCGCCGCTGCTGCAGGGCCGGGCCGGGCAGGGCCGGGGCCGCCGCCGTGCCCGGGGCCGGGGCCGGGCGCTCGGCGGAGCCGACGACTCCCGGAAGCGGCCGGGGCGGCGCCGGCGGGAGGCGGAAGCGCGGAGCCCCCCCTCCCGGCCTGAGCTGCGCATGCGTTGGTTCGCGGAGGGTGCGTGCGCATGCGCGCGATGGCGGCGGGGTGGATTTGATGCGCGTGTGGGCGGGGCTTCGCCTCAGCGTGTGGGGAGGAGGGGCTCTGAGAGTGGGGTATTATTAGGCGCTTTGCAATGCGGGGGTCCAGATTCTTAGCGTTTTACGCCGCAAATGTTCAATAAAATCATCGTTTTGGGTTAAAAGTGTGTTTACAGCTTCTAAAGTGATATCACTGTGTGGCATTACAGTCCCACAGCATCACATCTACCTGTCCCGTAGCACCACGTCTACCTGCCCCTGTGATAACTGGCTGCAGATCCCAGGGGTTTTACCTCAGGATGGCCACCAAGGGTTATTTTCGTGATGTCCCATGCTCGGTGTTGCAGTGGTGTTTCTTCGTGACTCTTATTTAGTTTTCTCCATTAACACCAGTGACAGGACCCACAGGAACGGGGTTAAGCGGAGGCAGGGGAAATTTAGGCTTGACATCAGGAGGGGGTTCTTCACAGAGAGGGTGGTTGCACACTGGAACAGGCTCCCCAGGGAAGTGGTCACTGCACCGAGCCTATCTTGAATTTAAGAAGAGATTGGACTGTGCACTTAGTCACATGGTCTGAACTTTTGGGTAGACCTGTGCGGTGTCAAGAGTTGGACTTGATGATCCTTAAGGGTCCCTTCCAACTCCGGATATTCGATGATTCGATCATTCGATGAAGTCTTGTTTCTTCATGGCTCTGTAGCTCAAGGAATTTCAGGAGAAGGATTTGAGGCACCTAAGTTAGCAGCTTGGTGTTTTACCCTGCAAATGTTCAATAAAATCATCATTTTGTGTTAAAAATGCGTTCACAGCTTCTAAAGCGATACCTCTGTGTGGCATTACAGTCCCACAGCACCACATCTACCTGTCCCGCAGCACCACATCTACCTGCCCCTTTGAAAACTGGCTGCAGATCCCAGGGGTTTTACCTCAGGATGGCCACCAAGGGCTTTCTTTTGTGATGTCCTACACTCAGTGTCATGGTGCTACTTTGTGGCTCCTCTTTAGTTCAGGGAGTCTTGTTTCTTTTTGTCTCTTTAGTTCAGGGAGTCTCAAGAGAAGGATTTCAGGCACCTAAGTTAGCAGCTTTTTCAGTTCCCGTTTACTAAATTTTGTGAACCAATTTGGTTTAGGCTCAACATCTGTAGTTAAATTAGGTGAAACGTTTCATGTCGAAATACATGACTATCATTCAGTATTTTCCACAGCATATTAGGAAAAGTAGATACCCAGTAGCCTTGAAAATGAGATGTAAAATAGCAATCTTGGCAGTGTGTGAGCTGAAGATGCATTTTAAAACACAGTAAAAAAAATGCTGAAGGATGACATTATCACAGCTCGGGTACACTTTTCCAGCCTCGCTTTTTTCTTCTTGTAGCATGAACACCATCTAGTGGGACATCGGCAGCAAGTGCATAACGAGTTCTGCATGCTGATAAGTGCAATAAAATACAGCTGTTTTTTTTTTTGTTTGTTTTTTGTTTTTTTTTTCCTTTTTTCTTTTTCTTTTTCTTCTGTTTCTGTCCTGAACCATTGGATTTCAGGAGAACTTGCTTTTGTGTGTAGTCTTCTATTTCCCAACAGCTGGGCTTCAGCTGGAAGACATTACTCTATTGCCAAACTCTGCTATTGAAATTACAGTATGCAAACATGTATGCACATAAAATCATAGGAGTTGACCTTTTCCTAAAACTTCCTTCTCTCTCCATATTCTCCCTTAATATAACTAACATGCTGTTTATCCATACAAAAATGAAGCAAACCACATTGTCTTGGGTATATACTTATGATGATGCAGTGCTTAATGAGCTTACCCCTCAAGAAAACTGAAGCATACTGCCTTGCTTGTGCTTCTACATTAGGGTGGCTGATACACAGACTGATACCCAACAGTCACCCAGAAGATATAAAAAAAGTTGAGTTCTCTGTTTTTTTATATTTAGCAGTTTTGACGAGACAAGACTCTGCATGTTGTTGTGCCCAAAAGGTTGGATACTTGCTCCAGCAGCTCCTGCATGTGCTTTACCAGGAAGAGCTTCTACATCAGTGCAAATGTTGCAATCCATTTCAGTGGAACTGACGTTTAATAGCTTGTCACTGCAGCGTCCCATCTTGTCACTCACTGCTTTTGTCCACTGGATGGTGCCTCACTTACTTCTGCATCTGTAGGGCATCTTAAAATGTGTTAGTCATACTGGTCGTGCTGCATTGGCAGTGTACACGTCTCCAGATGCAAATTGAAGGAGAAAAGGTGTAAAGACAAAGTAGTTGTTTGACAATTAAAAAAAATAATAAAATTATACAATGTCATGTCACATAAAGTTAGGCTGAAACTAGGGCATTCTCTCACAGATCTGAGCCTTCTCAAAGTTCAGTCACATCTGGATCTTGTACTATACATGTTACACTAGCCATTATTTGTGGATGTAGTTCTGAAAACCAACTTTCATTTGAAGCTCTCTAAGGATTAGAGACCAGGAAGGATTTTTTTTTTTCAAGTTAGTTTTGATTTCTGCTCAAACACTGCTAGAGAGATTGGATAGCTTCACACAGCAAATACAGTCCGTGCTCAGTAGAGCAAAGATCTTCAGAACCAGTTTGGACCTCATAGCTTCCTTGAGGGACTCAGTCTGATATTGCAAAATTTTTAGCCTCAATTTCTGAGGGTGCTGAGGCATTTTGATAGAATATAACTGTACTGTACCAATTTCTTTTGCCAGTCAGATGGTTTTAAAAGGTGCAGTGTTCACTATGTTCACTACACAATGGGAATTTTCACGGTCAATATGGCAGATGCTTAAGGGCAAGTCAGCAAATTTATGCTAACCAGAAATTCTTAAATTCATCTTGCTTTGTTCTCTGTATTTTTAACACTGTGCAGGTTTCTCATTTCCTCCTGAACTCAAAAACAAACAAATCAGTCAAATATTTTCCTCCCCGCATTTTTGCTAAGTGTGCAGAGCAGAGCTTAGGCAGGCTTGTTTTAATATGCACGGCGTTGTTTTTGCCATGCGAAAAGCATTACCAGACATGTCAGGACTTCGGTTCTTCTGCAAGTCCTGCTGTTTTGGAACCCACTTCCACAGCAAACAATGCTGCCAAGATAAATTGTTTGCCAGAGATAACTTCAAGTCCTCAAACAAATTACCTAAGAAATGTTGAAACATAACGCTGTACGAAGCAAATTGTTTCCATGCTTCCTGTCCTCGTAGGAAGGAACGGGGCTTATCTCTGTTACAGATTCCACAGAGACAGCCACAATACCTTAACCAACGTGTTGTTTAAATTGTGGGACTTTTTGAATACTTCACATATCCGAGGAACATATGAAATATGCATGCCCCGTTGTTCCTGCCCTTAGAAATGCAAATACTGAAATTCCAATGATTTGTATAAGGACTCCAACGGTTTGGCAAAGAGCAGTAAAGCTGCTCGCAGATTGCATTAGGAAAAAAATAAAGCATTTACAGGAATATGTTGTTTGCCATAGGCCCTTGCAGCTCAAGCCGACTAGCGCTGTTGAAGGTTTAATTATGCATGTTTGCAAGGTGCCAAACATTTGTCATTTGCGTGGATGCTTCCCCATTAAACATTGCTTTGTGTCAATGTTTTATTTACATTTTAACTAAAAATAAAAGCTGTTTTTCATAATCCGTTCCCTTGCAGCCTTTCTCTGTTCTGAACCATAATGCGCTCTGTTGCAGGTGCAGAGTGATAACATTGTGAGACACATCTATTTTGTGACAGTTTTCCATTCCTCTGTGGCACAATCTGAAGCAAGAATATATATATAAATATATATATATATATATATATATTTTTTTTTTTCTCTCTGGCTCACTGCCTATTGTATGTGGTTAACTTTAAGACTTGCTCCTTGGATATCAACTGAAGCAATGGCATACTGAAATATATTTCTGAACCTTGTTGTCTGTAGTACGTTCTGCTTTTTAGATCCTGCCCCTCTACTCTTGATGCCCGATGATAGCAATAAAGCAATAATTTGCTATTGTGCCCAGTCTCAGAAAAAAAGAAACTGCGTAAAAGCAAGGAAGCTTTTTAAGAAAAATGAAACATTAAGCCACTAAAGACTTTTGAAGGATAGATAGAAACATGAATATAAGGGCAGAGGAAATGTCGCCTAAAAGACGCTATAATCCCAATGAGAAATTGTAGGACTGTCAGAGGCCAGGCACTCAGAAAATGAAAGTGTGGAAGCAGAAAGCCCCAAAGCAAGAGCATCGGCACTTCAATCTTTCCTGCGAGACTGGATTTAATCTGGAGCAGGGCAATGAGACGAGGAATAAAGGGACCTGCTAAAAGCCCTCAAAAACACGGCTTCCAGAAATGGCACCTGTGACGGAGGCTGCCAGGCTGCCCGCTGCCAGTCTTGCTGCTGGCTTGTCCAAAGAGCGCTGCCAAGCCCTTTCCATGCCCATCGCCTGGAGCTGGCAATGAACACCCACAGAAGCCGAAAGCCGAGCGAAACCGGGCCAAAAACCCTAAAGCAGCCACTGATATCCCGAGAGACATCAGGGAACGGCCTCAACCTCCACCCGCAGGGCCGAGCCGCCCAAAGCGCCCTCAGCGCCGGCTCCGAGGCGGGGTTTGGCGGCAGCCGGAGCCGGCGCTGCCCCTGCGGGCGAGGCCCTGTTGCGGCTCCCAGCCCGGCTCCGAGCCCCCCCGGGCCGGCTCCAAGACCTTTATCCCGGCTCTGAGGCCCCTATCCCGGCTCCGGGACCCCCTGGCCCGGCTCGGGATCTCCCCCAGGCCGGCCCCGCGATGCCGGCGCTGCTGGCGCTGCTGGCGGCCGCGCTGCTGGCACTGCTCGGGGCGCTGAGGGCGGCCGGTCCCGGAGCTCGGGTCCCGCTGAAGCGCTGGGCTCTGGCCGGGCTCCTGCTCTTCCACGGAGTCTGGCGGCAACGGGTGGTCGCCGGAGGGACCGAGGAGCCCCGCAGGCCGCGCCTGATCTGGCCCGACCCCCATGTGAGTGTCCTGCAGCGTCCCTGGCACTCCTTTCACCGGCACCCCCTTCCCTGGCACCCCTTTCCCTGACACCCCTTTCCTTGGCACCCCTTTCCTTGGCACCCCCTTTTCTTTGCACCCCATCTCCCCAGCACCCCTGTCCCGCTGCGACCCCATCCCCAGCACCACCATCCCCTCCATCCCCTGGGATGCACATGCCCACAGGACTCCCATTCCCCCTGGACGCAGACCCCCAGGACCTCCATGTGCAGAACCCACACCCCTCTGTGTCCCCAGCACCCCAACACCTCCAGGACCTGTACCCCCAGGAGCCCCCAGCCCCTGCATCCTGATGCTGGGCATCCCTCACCGCCTGACCCACATCCTTCATCTCTGCTCAACACATCCCTGGGAGGGCACCTTGACTGTTCTTTGCACTGTTCTTTGCTGTTTTTTTCCAGAAAGGAAACCTTCCAGAAGGAACTTTTTTCCAGATCACTTTTTGACCTGGAGCAGCAGTTACAAAACAAAAGGTCAAAAATGATTTGGAAAAACTTCCCAGAAATGATCCATGTGGCATCCAGTAGGCTCACTCTGTGAGCCTGTATCCATCTTACGATGGATAAATTTTTGGAAGCAGAACTTTATCCATGCCCAAACATGCATACATAAATCTTAATTTCCACGTTCCAGCTTGGGAAAGTTAACTTTGTGATCCGCACATACACGTGAAAGTACACATCTGAATTTGAAGCTGTGGGCTTCTGTCCCTAGCCCAAGTGTTCATCATGGCAGTGAAGTGCTAGGTTTTTTATGGCTTGCTCTCTTTTTCTTTCTTTTCATTGTCAGTTCTGTGTTTCCTGTAAATATAAGTTGTCCTGTATTCAATTTGGAGCTAGATGGGGGAGCAGCATATTTGCAGCTAAATTCCTTTTACACACACAGTCTTTTTTAGGACACATTTTGTAAGGATTTTGGTCGAAGGAACATCCCATTGCAAAATAGTCATCTTGCTTCTTGGAAATAGTTCTCCTTGTCTGTGGCTATCATGCGATAATTACGGTCCCTCTCTAAAACTGCTTCTCACCTGCTCTCTCTCTGCTTTCTGAGTTGGTCCTGATGAGGAAATGGGTAAAGAAGAACGGGATAAAGCTTTCGGGTCAACGAATGGTGTAGTATTAAATACAGAAAGTGAAAGTAAAATTGAGCTCCTAAAAAGAAACATGGAAAACAAAGAATTACTCGTCTTCACCCCCTCCCTTCCTGCCTCCAGCTGGAGCTGAAATCTGTTTCCTTTTCCTAGGCATTCGATTCGGTTTACTTCACGGGCTTTGTGGAGACCAACAAGACCTTTGTGATTGCTCGCCTTGCCAAACGTCCTCACGGGGTCTGTGAGATGTGGCTCTTCCTGAGGGTGGATGGGATAGGAGAGTTTGAAGTAAGTGGTGGAGTCGGCTGACATTCAAGAGCAGTGCTTAACTCGTATCTTGAACCTGTGTTAGGAGCTCAGTCAAAAATTAATGTGCTCTGCATCTTCGCTACATTAACGTCCTAGCAGTAAAACATTGGTGCTGTGACTAAAGGCACTGATGTAACAAGTGATGCTTGGTCTTGTCTTCCTTCTTAAAGCCTGTCATTGGAGTTCTCTTCCAGTGATAACAGCAGCACTCACTGGCAGAAAAACAGGCCCTGTGCTCTGAATCTGCTTGGCTGTAAGTTTGACAGAGTCACTAGCATAAGGAGATAAGGAGCTGGGCTTTTACAGTGATCTCCCTTCACACAAGTAATTCAATTGTATCATTTGAAGCAATAACATGCTATCTGATAACTCTGGTGTTTTAGATGGAATTTTCCTTTTCCAATATGTGGTTACCAGAAAGCAGGCAGAACTGAAAAGCCAATTTAATCATATGTTCCTCCTGCAGAGGACTATCAGCGAGGAACTGACCAGTGTTGCATCCCCAGATATGACTTACACAAATGTTTTCCTGAAATGTCTTTTTAGCACCCACAACATCCAAACATGATGGTGAGTGATGAATCTGAAGAGATTTGGAGTGGAGGAGGGCTCACTATTGAGTACTTAGAGCTTGAAGCACGCTGGAAAATAAGCTTCGATGGATTACTTAGGTACTACAGCACTTTATCGTTTCATACACAGAAGACCAAGGCTTTTTGAACACTACCTGAAAATTTAATTAACCAACTTGAATCAAATGCAACTTGGTAACAGTAGCATACGATGCTTGCTAAGTAATGAAAAAACAGCTGGTAATATCTACAACCAGTGTTGGGTTGTAATAGAGGATTATTCTTCTACCTTAGCACACAATAATGTCATTCTTCTGCAGTGTTTCCTATTGATTCCATTATCAAATGCGTAAGGAACATTTTGCTGTTCGTTTAGGTATGTTACAAAATTATAGTGCTTTGTCTTACAGAAAAGGTCCCTTCCGACAGCAGTGGAGTGAAGAAGAGGGAGAACTTGTACCAGTTAAATTCTCTCTTCAGTAAGAGCATTTCACTTTGCTTTGGGATGTAGAGGAGGTTTGTGGTTAGAGGTTTGGTTCTTCAGGAAATGAAACCAAACTGACTGCAAAGTGGTAACCTCACTATTTGTTATTTAGGAAGTTATCACACCAAAGACTTCAATGTCTGGTGTATTTTTATTTGGAGAAACTGCTTTAAAAGGATTTTGGAGCTTCTACAGAGTGCTATAATCTCAAAATATGTTGCTGCTGGCATTGTTTCCTGCATTTTTCCTATTAATAGTAGAAATAAAGCCTGAACAATTAACAGTTGTGGAATGATTCTAGCATATATTTCCATAGGAGCTCTGCTCACACAACTAGGAAACAGACTAAGAGCTCCAAACCACGTTCTTTATTCAGAAATATTTATTTGTGGTTTTGTTTCTCTTTTCCACATAGTTACTGTTTTCAAAGGGGCATGTGCACAAAGTAAACCCTTGCCTCTGCTTTCTTGTTCTGCCATCACTTCCCAGCAATACAAATTCTACCTGGGTTATGGACTCTAGTTGCCTGATTAAAAATGATTTGCTGTTGAAGTAGCACAGCATTTCTGGCAGAGTGCTGCATTTGTACCTCTGAACAGACCACATGAGACAAAGCAGCATCCTTATCCTTTTGCTTGAAGCTCTGCCCCTCCAGCTTCCCTTCCTTGTTAATCTGTGGACCCTTGCTGTGCTTTTCTACAGGCCGTCGTTTCCATTCTCTGTTTCCTTTGAAAAGTAATAACACGACAAAAATGACAAAAATCAGAAATTTCCTAACACAATAACATTCAATGGTCACCATGGTCAGAGTAGCAGGTGTCCAGTTGGCCTTGTGCGACCTGCAAGCTAATGATGCCTTTTGGTTTTACCCTTCTCTTCCTAGCTGGGAGAACTTCACAGAAGTCTTCAACTTCAGTGTCGACAGTCACCCCAGCACATTTGCCCGCGCTTTTGCCCAGGAACCATGGACCATCGAGTTCTTCCAAAGGGTCAAAAAGTGAGAGGCGAGAGTAAGGTCTTCTGGGGTTAATAGTAATTATTCTACAGACCTCTTGAAGGTCTGGCCTGTGTTGTTACACGTAACAAGCATTTTGTACTATAACTGGGAAATGTGAAAGTGTTTCCTAATGTGTAGAATCTGGTGTAGCTGTGATCCAGATGCTCTTGAAATCTCTCCTTTGTTTTGGGATGTAAATCCATCAGATCAGCACTGTGGCCTCCTTACCAGCAGCTTTATTGATTTTGCCTGTGTCGATTCACTCTTTTCTTTCTTCTAGACAAAGGGAACAACATTTCCGACATGAGCAGTGGGGCCAGTCTGTTGGAGAAATTGAAATAGAAAATCATGAGAAAACTGAACTTTCCCTCAAAGGCATTCGGAGCCACTCTTATGGTAACAGCAGCAGAAACAATTCCCTTGCTCAGCAGCCTTTACTGCTGTTACTGCTGGGACAGTCAGGCTAAAGATTGTCTTTAGAAATAGATGGTTTCACAAAGAGCCATAAGTAAAGACATTTCACAGGAAAGTCTATTTTTCTGGCTAAATGTCATTTGTCAGATGGGTCAGATGAACGTAGAGATTTGCAATGGAGGGAATTTGGTCCATTCAAGCCTCCTGAGCTTCTGAAAAGGCACTGACATGCTTGGAGATACTAAAGTATTTTTGTTGACATTTTCCTAGCTTTGTTCAATATATAAACCTGTTGTCAGTCTGACTTGGCATGTTACTCTGCTCCCCTTTCAATTCTAGTGACCTTGAATTAATGGAAAAAGAGGAACAATTCCATTGCCATTTTGGGGACATGTGTATGCTTAAACATATTATCAGCTAGTGGAGGACTTTTTTTATCCAAAGTTAATGTTAATTCAGGTATATTGCTTCATGTTTTCCAGCAATGGCAAACTTTAGGGTGGGCGACTTTGTTCTTCTTTGCAGGTGTCCGGAACTGGTCTGAGATTTACCGTTATGTTATGATTTTGGCACGTTTTGAGGTAGGTATTTACATGCCAATATGCTATTTAACCATGGCATTGGAGGTGTCTCTGAACGTATCAGTCATATTTGAGTATCTGGACATAATGCATTGGGATCACCCATGGTGTGCGATCAGTAGTGCAAACCGGTGCTGTCATTAGCACGTATCAATGCTTCAAGCACCTCGCAAAAGCAGAGCCATGTGTGTAAAAACTGAGATTTTGCTACATGGCTTGAACCAACAATTGTTTTGGCAATTTGAAACTCTTTGTTTTGGCTTTAAAAATAAATAAATAAATAGGCAGCTTTACAGGACAGATTCTCTCCTGCTGCAGATACCCAGGGCTCAGTGGAGGTGATGCATTGCTGAGCCTGACATATTTGTAGGCATCTTAAGTCTTTATGACAACAGTCAGCAAATATTTCTGCCTGTGCTCAGCTCTAATTCCCTGCTTTGCCGTTGTGGCTGTGCTGGAGGAGTGGTTGCTGGGAGCACAGCCTGGGGAAATTCTGAACCCTGTCAATACAAGCTGGCATGCAACCCGAGCAGATGCTTCTGAAAAAGCATTTCCTTCACTAGTGCGGGCGTAAAGAAGTCTAAACTCACTGTTAGAGGCAGCATTACAGGAGTTAAGACCGAAGGCAGAAGAAAAATTCTTTCCTGGGTATATATTGGCCAAGAGAAAAACACACCTTGGAAAATCCCACATACAGTATCCCATAATCCAGTCACTGATGTGATTGACCGTATGCCTTTCTACCTTGTAATAAGACTCTGGATTTGTGCTGTGGTGTGCTTAATCGGTCATTAACCTCTCCTTTTTCTTTATAGTTATTCAGGACTTAAAATGGCTGCTGCTCTTCCCCTCTTAATTAAAAGCTAACTGACTGTTTGTTAAAAAGGAATTAATCATGGATTGAAGTTTGGAGTATGTGTACATTTATAACATGGCAGCATAGACTTAGACTTGCCTTCAAGCAGCTCAAACAGAGCATAGAATAGTAAGGTTAGAAGAGATGTCTGGTCAAAGCAGGGCCAATTTTGAGAGGCTGCCCAGCGGTTTTGAACACAGCTAGCAGAGATCTCTGCACGTATTGTTTCCCTCCTTTTATGTCTGCTTTCTGTGGACTTTTAATTGCATTACTGTCCTTAATTTGTCCATAATGTGTCTGGTTTATATTCCTGGACTTTCATTTGCAGCCAGATTTTCATGGAAGATGTGCTGAGAAGATTTAAAAGTATCACGTAATAGCACCCTGTGTAATCTGAGTTGTATCCAGTGTCTTCTTGGTCAAGCCAGCATATGATCCACACAAATCGGGCTGCTTTTTCTTTATTGCTGTCTTTCAGGATGGGACTGCAGCACATTTAACAGTTATAAATATGCCAGCTACCACGACTAAGTAAGTAACCAAGGAAGTTTACACGGATGAAAACATGCATCTCAAAGGTGACAGAAGTTGCTCTGCAAGATAACTTTATGCGCATTCTTGCTTTAAACCCGCGTAGCCAGATTTCCATCCACACCCTTTTTTCATGCTTTCCATTCCCTCTGCCGAGTTTTCCATTTGCAATTAGTTAGAAGGACAGCTTTTACCTCTGATTGCTTCCTTTCCACTCAATTATTGTTTGGCTGATGCAGCTGTCTGTCTTACTGTCTAGATGATTTAGAAGTACAAATCGAGCACTTCCAGCTATTTTTCAGCCTAATGTTATGCTTCTGGGGAGTGTGGGGAGCTTAAATCCCTGCATTCCTGGCCCTTCAGCTCTGTGACCAAGTGGGACCAAGTGTCCTGTCTGTCCTTCCCACTTCACAATCAGTCCTGCACTCCTCATCTCCTTTCCTGCATGCATGGCACCCCCTGCTCAGCGTTCACAAGATCCCCAAATATAACCATTTCTATGTATTCTTGCTGCTGGCCAGGGTGGAGGCCATGCTTGATATTGAGCTCCCCTGGAAGGCCAGCATGCTGGTCCATTTGAGCTGTGGTTGCGCTTTAGCTCTGCTCCATTTCTTTCCCCTTCAGCCTCACTGTAGGTTATGTTTTTTTCCCTGATGGGAAGAAGGCTGGGATTGAGTGGTCCAACGCCTCGCTGGCTGAGATGGCTGATGATGGTGTTATCAGGGATGAATACAGAGTCAGTTTTACTGCTGGTAAGCTAAACACAGTTCTGAAAGTATGCCTTGGTCAACGATCTTAGGCAATTTACAAAGCAGAGAGGAAAACTATTGTTCTTTACCAAAGCATAAAAAGAGAACCATAAGTAAAAATAGTAGAGCTTGTAATTTTTATAGATTAAATATGATTGAAGACTGGAGACATTCTTCCCTTTTTACTCTTACCAAAGGTGGCAAATACTTTGATGTTTCTGCAAGGCTGGATAAGCAAGCTTGCCCTGTGGTGTATAATGGCCTGACTGGACGTGGCGTTTTCCATGAGTGCATTGCAGATTTCCAGCTGAACGGGTTAACACAAGGCTGGGGCTTGGCTGAATTTTATTACAGGTAAAATAATGGTGGGCAAGAAGAGGTAGAGAATTCCCATCCTCTTCTGTTGACCCATGTGGCTACAGCTCCACACATGGTTGAAGTGTAAATGATTTTTTATTTTGTGTAAAGAAATTTTGTTCATTTAATGCTTAATGAGTTTATTACTTTGAATACATGTTATTTGAAAAAGAACGATTGCATGCACTTTGTGCATGCAAACAAACCTTAGGCACTTGTTCAGTTGTTAGTTATACAGATTTATGAAGGTATTTATATAGGTCTCCATATAGGTTTATATGTCAGTGGAGGTTTTACTCTGGAGAGCACCTTTTTTAGGCACTCTTTCACATTTTAAATAGAATGAGTTCTCTACCCAAAACAGCAGGCTAACCATTTATGGAATGAAATTTGCTCACACAACTATGTGTCAGACTAGAGAACAACACAGATAAATGTTCAGAAAATCAATACAGGAATGCCTCTTCTAGGGGAAAGGGTTATATCGACAAAATACATGCTTTTCAGTGAGTTGCTGTTTCTCCTGCCACAATTACCTCCGTCTTTTACTGCAGCCTTTTCCCTGTTGAGTCTTTTCTCTCATAAAAAAGACAAGTTTGCTTGTTTACATTTAGATTGCCTTTTAAAATAAACACTGATAATTGGCTGTCAGAGTAAATGCCATGGATGACTTTCAGAAAATTGAGAGCTCAGCTCCTTCTGAAGAGCAGACACTTCTAAAGCATATGAAATAGGTTACTAAGCCCCAAAATGCACACTGAACTTGAAAAACTTGGCCTGTAGCTGCTGCCAGATACCTGTTTCACTCCCTTCATGGGCTGTTAAACTGCATTGTGGAGGAGATGACCCTGCATGGAAAGCCTCAGGTACAACTCAAACAAGGCATGCTCTGTAATTCCAGACTGTCCTGGAGATTTCTAGACCTACCCCAGGCAGGCTAAATTTGACAATTCTGACCAAATATGCCTGGTTGCTATCTCATACTTACTTCCCAATCAAAACCATGTCAGAAAATAAAAAGAGGGGGTCTAGTTCTTCCCCATTGCCACAGGATGCCAGCTCAGCATCTCTGTTCTTCTTGCAGGGATGAAGCCGCCCAGCTGATTCCGAATTTGCAGCTCGGTTCCAAAGCCAATGGACCCAACCTTTCCTCCCAGCACCCTGTGAGCGACAGCTCTCCTCTGTGAGCTTTTTTCAGGCTTGTCCCAGCGGTATTAACAGGCAGCAGCTTTCAAGAAATGCTATTTCCTGCAAAATGCACAGTGTTGAGTATGGAACTCAAAATCACAGGAGGTCAAGGGTGTGAAAGGATTTGGAGGAAAAGAATTTGTGAGAGGATTTGGAGAAAAATGAGATACATTTTTACTTGTATCTCTTTTTACTTTTTACTCTTAGTGGTTGCTAACCGTGGTGGTCTGGAGGCAATTTAGAGGAAATTTCTGAACAGCTGACTGCAGAAAGTTTGCACAAGGAAGGATTGCTCTACGCTCTGTCTTTTGGTATTTTTCCTGAACTGCCGTCTGCTCCACACCGTGAAGACCAGGACATGGGACTACATGGAACTCTCCCCTATATAGCAGTTCCTCTGTCCCTTCAGATTCGTTTTTGAAATAAAAGCTCTATCTTTCTGAACTCTCTGGCTGTTATAGTCATTAAAACATGGGCATATGTTGTTACAGGAAAATACACTGATTTGACAGTGTAACTGCATGAGAAATTGAAGAACTAGGAGAAAACGCATCTAAATGAGGTGTCCTCTAGGAAGAGCATTTATGTATAGGCTAATGAAATAAGTGATACAAACACATTTTCCTTTGTCTGAAGGGAAGCCAGGGTCTGGTAGTTCAATTTCAATAACAAGCTGAATTTCTCATCATTCACTTGAACTTAAATGCCGTATTCATCACAACATCCATAGAATCATAGAATCATAGAATATCCTGAGTTGGAAGGGACCCTTACGGATCATCAAGTCCAACTCTTGACACCGCACAGGTCTACCCAAAAGTTCAGACCATGTGATTAAGTGCACAGTCCAATCTCTTCTTAAATTCAGACAGGCTCGGTGCAGTGACCACTTCACTGGCCAAAGTAACCTACAGTCCATTCTCTACCCAGTTACATCTTGCCATTATTTACTAAAAATTAAGTTTACTTATAATACGTCAAAACAGAAAATAGTTACATGGAAGATTATATATATATATTATATACATATACATTACATACACATTTTATTATCAGCTTCAGTTAACACTGAAGGAGAATTAAATAGACTTTTAGAAGACTTCCTCCTTTTCAAAAGAATTTTTGCACTTATTACTACAGCAATGCTATGGCAGAAGAGGCATCCAGTGCTGGAATGTAAAATCATTGGGCCTATGTATACCACAGCAATGACTTCAAATTTGGGATGTGTTATTGAGCAAAGAGTTGGAGGCACATATGGCTTTTGTCATTAATTCAGCCTTCCAAGTTAGCAGTTTCTCAAGGTTGTGGTGCCATACTGGTGCAACTGGTGTCCGTGAGCTGCACCCCACACAGGTTTGGCCATGGAGCCCCTCCTTGCCCCCCGAGGCATCGGCTGTGTGCATGAAGCAGCCTTATGACTGTGTCTCTTTTGGGACAGGCATTGATTCAGAGCTTTGGATCTTAGCCGGACTTCTCCGATAAATACATCTCTGGTTACAGTGGTATTAAGAAACACATTCTTGGGAGTCTTGCACAAATTTAAAGGTGTCTTAAATCTGTCTGTGAGCTGGAAGCTTCATTGCACTGAAACAGAGAGCTTCTAAATTATTCGAGACAATGGTACTTTGACAGAAGCAAAGGCCTTATGCCTCTTTTTACACATAAGAAATCAGTCAAATAGGTAATTTTAGAAAGGTTAGAAAAATAACAATGTTATACATCACAATTTGTTCCTACTAAGTATGTGGCTTTGTTTTGCTATGATCTCAGGAACATTTGCTACTTTTTCTGTGGAATTTTTATCATCTCTCCTTTTTGCATTTTTTTTTTCTTTTTAGAATAAATCTAAAAATCTTTGGAGGTGTGCTTCTCTCAGAGAATGTAGATAATGAGAAAATTTGTGAATTGTTACGCTGGAGTGAGAATTGGAGGAATTGATGTAAAAAAAATCCCCGTCCAAGTCAAAAACTTAAACTCTATCTCATCATGCAAGATATTGACTGTTTCTAGCTGGCAGTAATTGGACTACACCTAGGAATACTGTGGGGGACACAGCAGTTATCTCCCCCAAAACATCATCCCTGAAGTTTCTGTTCCAGCAGTAGAGGAGGTAGAGGAGGATGAAGATGCCTTCACTCTTCTTCTTCTGTGCTTTTTTACTTGTTTCTTTTGGTACCAGTGGATGGAGAATTAGAGTACTCCTGAGTTCAGTTTAGAAAAGTTCAAGCAGGGTACAGAAAATGATTAATAAAGTTTTGAGCTGGCAGGTTTATTTGCCAGGTGATGAACTACTGGTAAGGTATTTCAGCTTGAAGGACTGAAAAATTGACTGTTGGGGGTTTTCTCCATGGATTTCAAATTAGTTTATAGTGAGCTTGTGTCCAGGACACATGGAAGAACTTATTTAATTTAAAATAAATCTACCAAGCCCCACGCTTTGACCGTATGAAGTGGTCCTTCTCTTGTGGCTCCTTTCTTGGTGGAAAAATCCATCTTGGGAAATGCTTCTGCAGCCCAAAAGCATTAATTTTGAGCAAAAAAAGCAGTAAACGGAGGAAAATCCTGGCCAGAAGTGAAATGTAGCATACGATCTGCTCTCGTCCGGCACAAAGGGGGGCAGCTGGAGCCTCGTCGGGATGAGCTGCTCTCCAGCATCTGCATTTTGCACATCTGGGAGGAACCGAGCACCTGTAATTCCTGCTGCTGTCAATGGTCCAGTGCCTGACACGGCAAAATCCTTGCACAAAACACTTGCACGTCCCACTGGAGCTTATGTGCATGTTAAATTTCAAGACTGAGGCACTTGTAACAAGGTCATTTAGAGGCTGTCAGCCCCAAACTAAGCATTTCCCATCAATCTGGCCCTGGCTACTGATGTCTAGAACGGTAAATATTTTACTAGGCTTATTTATTCTCCTTCCTTTTTTTGCAGCCTTTCATGTATGCATAGATATAAAAGCCATTTGCAGAGATGCTGTATTTCACTGGTAAAAAGAAAGAAGAAAAAAAGTCTTTTTTTTTTTTTTTTTTTGGATTTATGTCCTAGCTTTACAGTTGGTGAAGCAAGGTGACTGATTAACTGAAGCCCAGGGAGTTCCATAATTTATCAAAAAAAAAAAAAAGCATACTATGGCCAAATTATCTCCGCAAAGCAACCAATTATTTCAAAAGTAGACTTTTCCCTCCATAAAAATGAGCTCAGCAGCCAAATGACTCAAAGACATTCCAGACTAAGTGACTGATAACCACCCACTCCCTTCTCCTATTTACTGGAACCCTTGTGCTCCCTCTTGTTTACCATAAAAAGCCACATTAGTCTTTCTCCATCCAAAATTGCTCTTCCCTAAATTGTGGCTTTTTTTATTATTGCTGTTTTCCTAACATGCTTAGACTAAGAGCTCAGGTGTCCGAAGCAGGGCCTCCAAAGGCATCTGTTCTGGGGGGGAGTTGGGTCGTCCCCCTCTCCATTGGAGGGATTTTCCTTTCCTGGTTGAGGTTGTAATTAGTTACAGCATTGATTTTTGCTTTTATACAGCACAAAAACCTTCCTAAAAACACAGTGCAAGTGAAGTTCATTCTAATCTGGCCATAAAATTTTACGAGTGATGTAAATCAAAGGGAGGAGTGGCAGCTAATGCTCTGGAACAGTTGAGCCCTGTTCAGGCCTTCTCAATAGAGTTAAATCCCTCCAGGAGCAATTAGCCTAACAAGCTGTTTGGTCCACTTATAAATAACGTCACCGATGGAGACGTCTGGAGGTGTCTGTTCTGTGTACAAGAGACTTTCCAAATATGCTGAGCAGTGAATGGCTTTTTTTTTTTTTTTCCTTAATCCGCAGCAGGGGGTGGAGATGCTTATCTGACATGTCCCAGCAGCTTCGCTCACATATTTATCGTGTTTTCCAGGAAAGATATTGAGTGGAAAGTAGGAGTGCAGTGCTCTTCTGGAGTGTCCTCTTATATATTGCTCGGTAGCTGCATGTGGGGCAGCACGTCTTGAGTCCTGACACGAAAAGTTTTGGTCAGAGCAATTCAGAAATGGCCCCGTGCAGGATAAACCTGGGGCTGGTTCATGGCTGAGGTTCTTGTCACATCCCCTGTGACATCTGAGCCTGGTGAGGGACTTCTGGAGCAAGGCCACCCAGCTGGGAGAGGTGTTAGAACTGGGTTTGCAGACGGACGTCCATCGGATGTGATTTGAAGAAGACAATGTTGACAGAAGAGAAGGGCTGGTTGCAGCCCATGCTGTGCCAGCCCTGGGGGCTGGAGTGAAATTTTGCTTCTGCAGAACGACTCGCCATCTGGAGAGGCTCAAAAAGGTGGAGATTTCTTTGCATGTGACCAAGTGACTTTGGTTTCCACATCCATAGGCATTTCCGGCATATCCGGGCTCCATCACAATGACTAACTTTTTGCCCTTCTTTTTTCCTTCTGCTTGAGAGCTGACCTTAGTTTTCTCATCCAGCTTTTAGTCTTGAAAGCCTTTTTTAGTTTCTCTCTTATTTTTTATTCCTTTATTGTCATCTGTTTGTCTTTTATTTTTTTCTAAAATACATTGTAAATTTATAGCCTTTGTGGTCTCATGACTATGGAGGAACCTTCTGTGGCATGCAGAGAGCTCACTCCATAAAACTGGCTTTATAAATTGTTAATTAGAAATTTTCAATTGCAAGTATAAATAACCGCCCATATCCCTGTAAAGTTTGACTCTTCAAAACAGGGCTGAAAGGGGATCTTGGCCAATCTTTGCCAAAGCAGGAACTCCAGCACTGGTGAAAAAACACCCACACAAGGAGAAGACAGCAGAAGATAATTACAGTAGTTTTAAGGTGGTGCCATTCACTACCAAAAATTGAGTTTTTCAAATTCTTTGTTGTTTCTCGGAGTCTTGATCCTGTCTTTTAAGAAAAGACCAATTTAAACTCAGCAACCCAAACCATAATTTAAGGATTTTTAAGAAATTAACAAAATTATAAATGTTAAATTATACAGTAAAAAATAAAAATAAAAAAATCCCTGCTACTGCACGAGTGACCTGAATACCAATGAACACCACACAAATGAGTTTCTCCCAGACCTGGGATGAAGTGAGTGCTATAAAGAAGAGAACTATAATTTCCAAAACCTCTCAGCCTCAAATAGGAGGGAACATCACTTTTATAAGCAAATAAACCTCAGCCCAGACTCTGCTTTGGTTTCAACCTTCATGTGACTGTCACTTGAGCAAGCCCTGGTTCACCAAACCCAGCAAAATGTAATGTGTCAGGTGGCATGGAAGGATGAAGGGGATGGGAGAAGGATGAAAGCTTTTGGTGTTATCCTGCTTGCACCTTGAAGGGCCAGAAACAACACGTCTAGATAGGACTCTACAGCTCAGCTCCAGGAGGATGAAATATCCAGCTACCCAAAAAGCACAGGGCTGAGCAGCTGGGGCAGGAGCAC